CCTCTCTGGATCTAAATTCCCCAGCTGCTCTATCTCTCCATGTCATCATCTCTGCCTGCATCTGAGGCATCACTGCTTCTCTGCTAGGGTCTCCCTCTCCGCTCTTCTCCTTTGATGGTGCTAGGGACCTCTGCTCCTAGAGGGGAAGTTAATCACTCCCCTCATATAAATTGTCTATCTTTACATTTCCAACCCTCACAATCAGTCCGGATAACAATCATTCACTATTGTATCAAAAGTGACCCTTCTGCATTTCATTTCATCAGCTCCGCCTAGAGACTGGATAGTACTCACTGGAGATTCTGCCTTTCTCCATGCAGCCTAGCTCTAGGTTCCCTCTTGAAAGCTTGTAAGCCAGTTACTTCTTGCCTTTGTGGTCCCTCACCCAACCGCCCATTTGGGTATCCAATGTCCAAGTTGCCCATCTCTGTCTACTCTGTGTGTGGAGGGGTAAGGGTCACTCTTGAAAGCTTGTAATCCAGTCACTTATTGCTTTTGTATCCCTTCCCCCATTTTGGGTAGTCAATGCCCAAGTTGCCCATCACTGTATACTCTTTGTGCGGAGGGGTAGGGAACAATTCTTGCAGCAAGGATTTGTTTCCTCTTTTGAGCTACTGCCTTTATAGGTGTAGGTCAAGTTTATCTAATTGTATCAGATGACACTTTTTTTTCCTCTTCTTTCTTCTTCACTCAAGAATATACAATAACTTAAACAACCAAAGGGCACATTCTGGAATCATGCCTCCTGGACCCCAGCACTCAGTCTTTCTTTTCAGTGAGTCTGGAATATTCAGCAGCTCTATCTCTTCATGCCATCATCTCTGCCTCCATCTCTAGTGTCACTGTGTCTCTGGATAGGATGCTGAATTCCACCTGTGCTCTTCTCCCTTGGTGGTCCTAGGCTCCTGTTTCTGGGTTGTAAGATGAACTACTCCTCTGCTTTCATTACAAAACTTCTACCTTGAGAACAAACAAGATGGCGGATTGGATGGACGTGTAGTAAAGAGCTCTGCCAACAACACAGAATACCCGACCAAGAAGGCTCAGGGGATGGTCCCAGAACT